TGTGTGTGTGTGTGTGTGTGTGTGCACTCTGTGACCTCCTTTAAATAATCACATTTGACTCAGTAATCCCCCATGTGGTTAAAACAAATTCATCCTACACATTCTCACACGCACAAGCCTTTTATTAATTTTATTTATTTATTTTTATAAACGGTTTTAGCAGAAATCTCACACACCTTCCTTGCTTTCCCCCATCTCTCCTCCTCCCCCTCCTCCAAGTGAACTGAAGCAGGAGCTGGACGAGGAGGGCAGTCGCTGCCTCCTGCTGTCGCGGCAGACCTGCTTCAACCAGCGCTGCTGCATCCGCTGCTGCTCGCCTTTCACCTTCCTGCTCAACCCCAAACGCCGGTGCCGGGACTGCAGCTACGACGTCTGCAAGGCCTGCCGGGTCTACTGCAAGCAGGACAGAGCCTGGCTCTGCTCCACCTGCCAGAAGAGCAGGTAAGCTCCAGATGAGAGGCAGACAGTTAAAGGTTATTAAGGTCTCACTCAGGTGATGCAGAGTTGGCTTAGCATCAGGATGTGTGATAAAGTTTAGCAGCAACTTTGGAAGTGATGTATTTATTTTATTTTTAATGCTTCATGCCAGTTATGTTAATGAAAATACATACAGTTATCAGACAGGAGAGATATGTATTCCTGATAAACCTAACTCAATGTCTAAAGGGTTTTCAAGTGTGATTGGTTTTTGGCTGCAGAGAGGTGAGTAAGGATGAAAATGTTTTTGAACGTATCTGTGTCTCTGTTACCAAATAATCACCTGAATATATCTGAGTGAAACTTGATGTGACAGTAGCTGGGAGTCATTCTGAGCTTGTTGTGTTGTTTTTTTTTTCCAAGGTTTGACCAAAAACAGCTACAACTGGATTAAAAGTGAACTTGTTTTCTGTCCCTCAGATTGCTGAAGACGCAGTCACTTGAGTGGTTCTATGCAAATGTGAAGAAACGCTTCAAGAGGTTCGGCAGCGCCAAAGTGTTGAAGACCCTCTACAGGAAACACCTGACGGAGCACAGTGCACTCTCAGAGCTCACAGGTAAAACTAAATCTCTAATACTTCAGTGTGAGTTAACCTGATCAAAGCTAAAAACAAAAAAAATTGTCTATAACTTTTCACATTTGAAACAGAAGAATTTACACAACATACAACCACTAAAAATAATTAAAAGTTCAAGATTCAGTCAGTTTAGATCATTTTGTGCATGTTGTGTAAAGATCTATAATGTAAAATTTTATTGTGTTTATTACTGAGTTAAAGCAGGGATGGTCAACTGCCGATCTGTGGGCCACATCCAACCCGTGGGTGATTTCTGTCTGGCCCTCCATAAAGTATAAGTATATATA